CATGCTAAGGCCTCACGACGTTCAGAGGGGAGAGTAAAAAATCTTGCCACAATCCTTAAATAAATAAACCAGCAGCAGAGGCCTGGTTATGTTGTGGACGACAAAGGGCTCCACATGTAGGCTTTGACTATTTCCATGAACGCCCAACCTGATGGCTGGTGGGGCCCGGGTAAAGGGAGTTTTCTTCCTTTTCTGGTCTGAAGAGTGGTGGCATCCTGCACAACACCAGGACAGAGGCTGCCCTGAGCCTGGAGCAGAGCCCAAGGCTTTGCGCAGACAAGGGAAGAAGATCTCAGGCCTTGGGTTATCCAGACCTAACCCTGGGCCTTACATGTGACCTGTCCCCACCTGACTGGCTCTCCATGTGACTATCATCCCATGTGGCCAACACACACCGAGACTAGCATTCCATGTGACTAACACACCACTGAGCAGAAGCATTCATTTTTCCAGCATGTGTGTGTGTCTGGCAGAGTGTGTTATAGATAGGAGGTTGAGTACACGTGGTGATATGCAGGCTAGATAATACAGAGAAGCTTATTTTCACAAGAATGTGCCCTCCCAGTGGGTGGGAGTGGGTCTCACCAACACCTTGCCACAACCAACAGTAGATGCTCAAGGTACAGGGGTATAGTTAATCCATGAGATTAATCCCTGAATTGTCCAATAGAAATATAATGGGACCTGCATATCTAATTCTACATTTTTGGTAACCACATTATAATAATTTTAAATGGTGAAATTAATTTTTTTTTTTTTGAGACGGAGTCTTGCTCTGTCACCCAGGCTGGAGTGCAGTGGCCGCATCTCAGCTCACTGCAAGCTCCGCCTCCCAGGTTTATGCCATTCTCCTGCCTCAGCCTCCTGAGTAGCTGGGACTACAGGCGCCCGCCACCTTGCCCTGCTAGTTTTTTGTATTTTTAGTAGAGACGGGGTTTCACCGTGTTAGCCAGGATGGTCTTGATCTCCTGACCTCGTGATCCGCCCGTCTCGGCCTTCCAAAGTGCTGGGATTACAGGCTTGAGCCACCGCACCCGGCCTAATTTTTGTAATATATTTCATTTAACCTAATAGATTCAAAATGTTCTCACTGTTTGGCATATAATTCATATTTTAAAATATTAATGAGAGCTTTTATATTCTTTTATTCATATTAAGTTTTCAATACTGGGTATGCATTTTACAGTACAGTACATGAATAGCCACATTTCAAGTGTTCAATAGCTTAATGTGGCTAATGGCTTCCATATTGGCCAGTGCTGGTCTAGATTATTTATTTTCCTAGATCAAAAGTATAGGCAATTGCCCAAAGGTGTGGCAATTCCTCCAGGCAACAGGATGCTGTGTGTTGGTCCCACAACTATTTCTTAAGTACCTACTCACCGCATAGTTTTGACCCGGCCTTCACAGAGGACAGAGGAAGCCTTTGCTCTTCGTGAGTCCTAAGTCCACATGAACTGCCCAACTCTAGAGTTTCTCACCCATTACTTAATACAGTGTTGGAGGAAAGAAGTGGCAACAAATGGCCTTTTTTTCTATGGTCTGTAATTATCATCCCACCTCATGGCTTCCTTACTTAAAAAATAAACCAAGCCTGCATTGTTCAGTGTTTCAATCTGTTAGGCACTGATCTGTGTTCCGCCTGGGCATGCTCCTTTCACCTATACCACACCACTAGCAGGGTTTCTGGCTTAATCCTTTATGCCAGTAGGGAAAGTAAGACTTGGAGAAGCACTGCAATTTTAGGGTGAGAGAATTTGGGGGAAGAAAAGAAAATTTCTAATGAGGTCCCATCCTTTTTCCCCTCAGTGAGGTCCCATATGGAACCTGTGAAAAATGTCATGTGATGCGACTGTGTACTTCAGACCCTAGCAGCCTGCAGTCAAAGCAAATGGAACATCCTGGTACTATCTGAAACCCAGAATAGGACCTGGAGCACAAAACTTGGGTCAGGTTCTTGCCCTGACTTTTACTAGCCATGTAATATTGGGCAAGGCAATTCATAATACTAACTAGCATTTACTGATCTTCTCCCATGTACCAGGCTCTGACTTAGCCAACTGCTCATATACTTTCTCTTCTGCTCAAAGAGATAATCCATTTTATAGATTAGAAACCTAGGGCTCAAAAAAATGCAAATTCCAAAAGTCATATATCCAGCAAGCAGGGAAGCCAGAATGAAGAAACATTAAAGGTAATATTAAAGGAATTATTAAATATTTTGTTTTATAATGCAACTTAAGCCCTACTCAACCCCATTGAATATTTTTTAAATGTCACTAAAGAATTTCAAGACCACTGATGTACACATAAACAGTCTATACCTGTTTCAAATCTAAGAGTTTGTAACGCATAAGCTAATAGGAATTGATTTCAGTGTGCTTTATAATATAAAAATAAAGGCTGTATTATTCATTTGCAGTACGTAACTTGTCAAAACCATGAAAAACACTAGGCTTTCAAAAGAGATAGTTACACTTACACTGTTCAGCTCGAGAGGCTGTTGTAATCATCTAAGGAGAAGAAAAAGTAATAGCACTTTGAAAGTGTAAGGAGATGACCAAATGCCAGATATTACAAACATGTTAAAGCAAACTGAAGTTATATGCTTATAAGAAATGTACATCAGATACTTTTCCTAACCTTCATTACAAGTCTGCAACTTGAAAACAGTTATAAGTGAAAATATAACTTGATTTCACAAAAATGAAAGAAATGGAAGTTAAATGAAAATGAAAGATGAAACAAACAAAATAAAATATCTGACTTTCTTGAAAGGGAACAGAGGGAGGGTGAGGAGATGGAGTAGAAGAGAAAGGGAGGGAAGTAGGGAGGGAGGGGATGAGAGAGAAAGAAGACAGGGAGGGGGAGGCAAGTGCTGTTGAAAAATAAGCCCGAACTGGTGGGGTCAGACCGTTTCTTCAAGAAATCAAGAAACTGGCCATGACCTCCTCAGCGTTGAGGCTGGGTATAGTTTTTGTGACTGTTTAGAGAAATCTAGCGCTCTCCTCACCATTAATCTTTTCTAAAGAAAGACTTTGTTCTGCACCTGTATAAACAATTCAGATTTTAAAAACCTATTCGCCTGCCCCTAATGTGTGAGACTATATATTTATACTGATAGCTTCAAGTCATCAATAGTCATTGCAGAAAGCTAGCCTGGCTCTCCTCGATCCATCTCTTTGCCCCTTCTTGTCCCTCTCCTCTCCTTCACCTGGCAAGGTGATCCTAGGGTCAAGTTCAAGTTCAAACGCTCCAGAAAAGATTTCCACACTCTGTCAAGTATTCCCTGCATTTCCCCACCCCAGAGATAACTTAAGGCAAACGATCTTTTTACTCAACTTGTCCCAGAACCAGCCCATCCCCTGCCTTCAACCAAAAGACAACTTGTACAGGGAGAAAACCTTTGCAAATGCGGGTGAGTGGGAGGGGTTATGTGAAACACTCCCCCCGCCCCAAAACGCCCCCGCTAAGGATAGCATGGCCTGGGAGACTAAGGTGGAATGATGCCTGAGTGATGAAGTCAGCCTCTGACAGCCACCTGTTGCAGCACTTCAGGCATCGAGCTGGACGCATTTGTTCTGCTGTACGAACTGGCGGGAGCCAGGCTGGCCCAGCTATCTCTGCCAGCTCTGTCCTGGACTGACTCCACATCGGTCCCCTTGCACCTTGCTCAGCTTGGGAGCCTGTGGGCTTTCAGGAAAAGAACAAGTGAACACCTAAGCCAGTGTGAAGACTCAATTTCATCATTGTAAAATGGGGTAACCATATGCCAAACTTATACGGGTTTTATTACTCAGTGGGCTGCTCACAAGCCGCGAGTACAGTGACGGGCACCCAGTGGGAACCCAGTCTCTGGCCACTGGGGCTCGTATCCACAGAAGTACTTATCCCCTGACCAGGAACTGCGACGACCTTCGAGTTAGGAAATAATGAGAATGCAAAATTGTGTTTTCTTGTGTGGAAGAGCAGGATGTTTTAGTCTTTTTGGAACGGAACATGATCATTCAGGGTGCTCCTTTCTCATTTTTACTTTGAATGGATGATTGTGCTAACTTAGCATTCTGCTTCCAGGAGCTCGCCCTTCAATACACAATCGATTAAATACAATAGCAGGGATTCCCTACACTATAATACAAAGCGTTAGGGCCGGATCCTCCATCACATGTATTATAGTATTAAAACAAAATCACATCACGCATGGAACTCTCGAAATAGTGGAAAATACCAGCTACAACATCCAGTGATGTGTGACCCGGAGGCACGGGGTAGACTAGAATACCGACGGGCCAAGATTCCCAAACGCGGATTTTGAATCCTTTTTTCTACTTAGGTTAGTAAGTTTGGGTCTTTTACTTAACGTCTATCTAGGCGGCTCAGCTTCAAGTTCTGCAAATTGGAGATAATATCATTAAGTTACAGATGTTATTTGAAAATGCAACGAACCATTGTAACCATTTTTGTAAATCATGAAGGTATATTATAAGAAAAGGAGGAGGAAAATGAGAGGTGGTAACTTGTGCACTGTTGGATGTTGTTTGCTTGTTCCGCTCTTCCTCTTGTCCAGCAAGGCTTGGGCAGACAATCATACATCATGAATGATTAACTTGAAAACTGATTTCTACTGGAAAGACTGGCAGGCAAGCAGAGGTCGGGATCCTGTCGTCCCTAAGTGTTTGGTAATCTTTGCCACTGCTAAGATTACCTGGGGGTGGAAGCACGGTCGGTAGGAACAAGATCTGCCCCTTTACTCCCCGAAAGCTCACTTATCCCGCACAGACATGCTGAAGGTCCGTCGGGCTTCGGTGCCTAAATCTCGGCTCTGCAGAGACGTCCCCTTCCCCCGCCTCCACCAACCGCTCCTCTGCACGCAGAAAACCGGTCCCCACCCCTTCCACGCCCCTGCCCCACCTCTTGCCCCCCTTTCCAACCCCCTCTGCTTTGCCTGGGGTGGTTTGTTCCAAGGAGTACAGATAGTCTTGTCAAAAGGCGCAGCTCACCGCGGTGCGCGCGGATTTCTGGACTTGGCCGCCAACTTGTGGTCCACGCTCCCCGGGGTCAGCGGAGGGGCGCGCTCGCTCTCACCGCCCACCTCGCTTTCGCACCCCGCGATTCCTGGCCTGGGTTTTTAGTCTTCCTCGGAGCGCTCCCTGGCCTCCGCCTCCGCCAGGGAGCGGAAGGCGGAGACAGCGAGACTGGCCAGGGGGGAGGAAAGCGGACGCGTGTGGGCGAGGGGGACAACAGGATGTCCACGGGCTCGGTGAGTGATCCGGAGGAGATGGAGCTTCGGGGGCTGCAGCGGGAGTACCCGGTCCCCGCCTCCAAGAGGCCGCCCCTCCGCGGCGTAGAGCGCAGCTACGCCTCGCCCAGTGACAACTCGTCCGCGGAGGAGGAGGACCCCGACGGCGAGGAGGAGCGCTGCGCTCTGGGCGCAGCCGGCAGCGCGGGAGGCTGCAAGAGGAAGCGGCCCCGTGTGGCTGGGGGCGGCGGCGCAGGTGGCAGCGCGGGCGGTGGTGGCAAAAAGCCCCTCCCGGCCAAGGGCTCAGCCGCAGAGTGCAAGCAGTCGCAGCGGAACGCGGCCAACGCCCGCGAGCGCGCCCGGATGCGCGTGCTGAGCAAAGCCTTCTCCAGGCTCAAGACCAGCCTGCCCTGGGTGCCCCCCGACACTAAGCTCTCCAAGCTGGACACGCTCCGGCTGGCTTCCAGTTACATCGCTCACCTGCGGCAGCTGTTGCAGGAGGACCGCTATGAGAACGGCTACGTGCACCCAGTGAACCTGGTAGGGGCGCGGCGCGCAAGGAATCGGGCGAGCAGCCAGGAGATACCCAGGGCAGGGTCAGCCCGTTGGGAAGAATTCGAAAGGGGTGGAGGTTCTGGGACTGGGAACGAGAAGGCCAGTTTAATTTCTCCCAAATCAAGGGAGTGGCCAGCCATTTCTCTGAAGAAGAATCAACCATCCGTGTGTGTTTGCATCGTTCTGAACATTGTACCCCAGTGACAGCCATTGACTAATATCCAACTTCCAGGGTAAATCTTGGTTCCAACTCAGTCTGCCACCTGGTTGCAGACTGACAGCAAATCTCCCTTGCCCAACTTTATCCAGCTAAGAGTCTGGCAGGTTTGAATCGGCAAGCCATTTCTTAAAGGAGGGAAAGCCGAGCTCTATAAAAGAGCATTTGCATTTTTAGAAAAATTGCTTCTGGAAGATAGTAACGTTTCCCCAGATGGGATTTGTCTGGAAAGTCCCTCTCTGATCTGCCAGCTCTCCCGGCTTGGGAAAAATCCTGTCCAAGCCCAGTTCCTACTTGGAGCTTGGAGTGGATGACGGATTTTGTGTGTGTGTGTGTGTGTGTGTGTGTGTGTGTGTGTGTGTGCGCGCGCGCGTTAGGGGAAGGGAACTAAACTACAGAATCTCAAAGTCATACGAGTTTCACCAAATTTTCCTGCGGGCAAAGTCCAGGAGGAAGCGTGAACGGATATGGCACGTCTCGGATTATCAACCTCCAGTAAAATGAAAATCTTAGTTCAGAGAAAGGACATGCAAATTCCCAGAATGCTGATAAAATTTTAGCTACTCCAAGTCGGGAATATCTGGGGTTCGCGTGGGAGAGCGGTTTCGGTTTGAGACAATCGTTTCTCTCTAGTATCTGACGTTCTTTTTGATTTTACAGACATGGCCATTCGTGGTCTCGGGAAAACCGGACTCTGACACCAAAGAAGTTTCCGCAGCCAACAGACTATGTGGAACCACCGCTTAAATCGTACTGGAATTCACTTGATGGGATTATTCGTTAAATGCGAGTGTTTGGGGGCCACGGAGAGAAGGGAGAGCTCGTGAGATGGGAAGCAGTTTCCGTGGGATTCTCCTTGACCCTTCCCCTTTCCCTGGAACTGTGATCACGACAGGTGGCGGGCATGGCTGTCTCTGCTCAGCGCCCACGGCTACAGCTGCGGCGGATCTAGGCGACCACGTTTTGCCTCTCCAGAAAGAGCCTCCTTTCGTGTCCAGAACGCGGACGCAGGTCCACCCTCGGGCCCTAGCTCTGTAGACTAACTCTCGGCTGCTGCCCCAGCCCGCGCCAGACAGCCCAGGGGTCCGTTCTCAGCCGAGCCAGATTCATCGCACACGTGCGGGACGATTCCACACAGCCCGGGCCTTTCGCGGTGACACAATGGTTAGGAAACGGTTAGAACGCGCTCTACACCCGCTTTAAAGACAGAAGTCTAGACGTGAGATCCGCGTCGGGACAGAGTTTTAAGTGACAAAGAAGGGCGAGTAGCCTCTCTGGGCTAGGTTCGTATCCCAGCACAGCGCCCTTCTAATGGGCGGGAGGAGGCCCGCTGCTCGCAGGGCTAGGTGGAGACACAATTCCCAGACCACCGCAGGCGGATTTTCCCGGGCGAGCTCCGGGCCGTTCGGCCTCCCTTCCGGGTGACTTCTTCATTCCGGTCTCCTTCCCAAGCTCCCGGCTTTTTCTAATCAGGCGTCTGTCTACCCTCCCTACTTCTGGGCTGGAGCCTCCCCAAGCACCACTGCGCCAACCTGGCTGGGATCGCCTTCGGACTTCCCTTTCCGCCCCGCTCCTGCTCCTACCTGCAGCACTCCCAGCTCCGACTCCAGACTCTCTCCATCAGGCCTCCCCACTCCAAGCTCCGGGCGCCCCAACTCCAACACCGCCTCCCGCCGTGCAGGTTCTTCCCCGCGCGGAGGAGCGCGCGGGGTGGGCGGCTAACCATAGCAAGTGATCCTGCGATAGGGAACGCGCCCCTGCCCCGAGGCTGCACTACCACAGGAAATAACATATGTAAATAAATTTATTTTTTTATGAATAATAAAACGCGCTGTGAAACTGTGTGCCCCTTGGCGGTGTCAGGATGTGGTCTTTGTTGCCCTTTACTGAGATGGTTTGGCTGTAGAAGTTAATTTTTAAGGTGGTGGTCTCCTCTGGTCAGGGTGGTGAGTCATTGCGGGCGGAATGGTGGCGATCACTTTTGGATCACTCCATTTCCAAACGTCATTCTTTATTAATCTCTGTGATTCTGCTGCTTCTCGCGCCGGGCGTCCTAGATGCTATAAGTGGAGACCTAATAAAAGTCCTAAGAGTCTTGAGGCCCCTGCTGTCCTGACAGGCATACACTCCTCAAGCTAACATAGGGTACGTCTCTCTTTCTCTCTCTCTCTCTCTCTCACACACACACACACACACATAACACACACAGCAGCTACTCCAGCTTAAAGCACACGCCAATCCTTACAATTGCAAGTAGTTCAAAAAAACCCCTAAGGCCCACCCACAGGTCTCCAGTGTAACTGGCAGAATAAAACCCTAATGTGAGAAACCAATTTGTATTTCAACGGTGCTTTTCTTTTTTCAAATGTTTATATAGCTTTTTAAACATACACTCATTCTCCGTGTTATTTTCTTCCATTTGCACTGCAGTTTTTGTAGAAGGTAACAACTTGGAAACCCCATGATACAATTTTTAAAATGGCTGGTTCTTTTAAAAGCAACGTTCTCTTTGTAGAACATTTAGAAAAGTGTGAAGGATAAAAGTGCACAAACAACTTGGGGGTCAACTTGGGGGTCTGTCCATTTTGTGCAATTGAAAGGCAGTTTTCTTGACCCTGAGAGAGAAAAATACAGCTGGATTTTAGTTAGGAGGTAAGGGGGGGTGGTGGGGAGAGTGACTTCCTGTTTTGAGCTAAACCAACCAAAATGCTAAAGAACTGCTTTCTGACAAGATAGTCTTGGGCTTTTATTCATAACCTGGGAGGGAACCCACCCTGGGGATCCAGTCCTACATCAGCCGGTGTCTGGCATCAGGGGCTTTCTGACAAAAGGGAACCTCAAGTAATCTGTGTCAGGAAACCCTACCATGGTTAAAAGCACTTCAGCCGTGAGTCCTGGGTAGACAGCTTCTTGAGGAAGAGTGTCTGCTGGAGGCCAGATGTCAAGGTCATTTCCAAAATATCCAGCAAATTGGGCTCTTTTCAAGGAAAAGAGGCAGCCCAGTGTATGTTGGTTAAAGAGAATCTGAGCGTCTAAAGAACCCAGCTTGAAATCAAGCTCTGCCACGGGGTTAGTGAGCATGTGCAAGTTACATTATGAACACCTCTGAGCCTCAGTTTCCTTTTCTGTAGAATGGGGGTCATCACAGTGCCTATCTGGAATATTACCTTAGGAATAAATATGATAATGTATTCAAACAGATCAATTAATATGCAATGAGCAGTGCACTAAATTCTGGTCACTAAAGGAAATCCAGAGGCAGAGGGAACCACTTCCACAAAGGGGGATATTTAAACAGGTGTGACATTCCCAGAGTCCAGTCATTAAGGTTGGGTCTTGTTTTGAGATGTCTGAATTACAACCGTGAAACAAAAATGTCCCACAAGAGTGGACAAACAGAAATACAGAAAACCAGACAGAATAGCTATATTTGTAGTGAATACAAATAAGAACAAGCATTTGAATAAACAAGGAAACATTTGGGCAAAGTTCCACAAGTGAAAGAATAATATTTAAAATATGTGTTTCTATAATTATATTCCTTCTGGCCAATTCAGGAGTAAACTCACAGATTTTCTGTCTCTAACGCCCAATTAAGGTGGTGCTTTGCACTGACTCACATGTACAGGGAGTGCTGCACTGCACTCTGGAAATTCATTTTAATGGCCACTTTATAGTCCCATAATAGATAAAGAAAAAAAAAACTTTCTTAAGAATGTTCTGCTCCACAGTATATGTAAAAAGTCCAATGCCAGGAATTATGTTATTTAAGAAAAGAAGAAGAAAAAGAAAGAGGCCACTTTCTAGTAAGTCCCAGTGAGTCCATGTAAATTATGCAAGCTTCTGTGCATGTGTTGCTGTTGGGAGGGGCCTTAAACATCTTAAACCAGTCTTTTCTTTATGTACCATGACTAGAGTGTGTTCTAAGTGGTAGACAGGCATCACCAAATCTCTCTCTCATCATTTTCCTTTAGAGCTCTGAGTTTGCGAAATGGGAGTTGGGGCTGGAGAAGTGGGCAGGAAGTGGGGTGGGAGGGGGGCTTAAGAGAAAAAAATGAAGTATGTGCTTAGGGTTACACATACTTGAGAGAAAAGATGAGAGGAAAGAAGTCTAAGAAA